ACGATTACGGCTGTCCTTCTCCGATGCCCAGGTGTGCAAGACTTTGGTTCTGCAAGGCAGACCATATAACTCCGCGGTTGTTTCTGACAAACGCCCTGAACGTCTTAATGAAGACCGTGTCCCTCTCTGGAGGTGGCTCTTCCCAGGCCAACTACTTTCAACATACGGCCTGTGGCCGCTACGGAGAGCGGCGAGGGGCATATGGGAAGAAGAGGTGTCCTCCATGTGTCACCGACTGGAGGCGGAAGCCGAGGAGCAAGGACTTAGGTGCTCACCATTCCCCTGGCTGAGGTACACAGGCAGCTACCTACAAGTCTACGTAGTGCTCCGACGACGGCAAGTCCAATTTGCGCCTAGCCCGTGTGTTCCACCGCCGATTCTGGGGAGGAAGCCCGCGACAAACACGTGGTGCGCCGACTAAGTCAGGAAGTTACGCTCTCTTCGCTGCGTTGATTGTACTACACACTGTGTACTCCGCCTTCTGCACTGTGTACTCCGCCTTCTGCACTGTGTACTTCGCCTTTTTAAGAATCAATCTTGGTGTGGTGGGTGATTTTGGCGGCGGTTACTTTGCTCCAGCGTATCCCGAGCGGACAGTACGCCGTCTGCAGCAGCTCAGTGTGGCCGTCAAAATGCAGTTGTTTTTTGACTGGTTTAGATGAGAGGTTTTCGTGTTGCTTGGACGCTTGGGGGGACGCTTGGGGTGGGCGAGATACCCGGGGTCTTGTCGGTCCTGACTGGGGTAACTTTCGACATGACTTCCCCTGGCGAGGAGATTTGCGGATCGCTAGCGACCCAATGTCTTGTGTGGGACCGTCGAATTGAATGCGATCGTGGCTGTCCTCCGCCTATGCCCGGGTGCGTCAGGCTTGGGTTCGGTAACGCAGATAATGTAACCCTGCGGCTGTTTCTGGCAGTCGCCCTGCAGGCAGTGGATCAGCTAATGAAGAGTCAAGGCACGCTGTTCAGTCCTGAGCAGATCCATGTTGTACGTCACGACATCCATCCGATGGTTAGATTGGATTTTTCTAACGCCGCTAGATACGTTGACCGCAAGAAAGCTTCTGATGAGGCGGCTCGAGTTAGCATGGCCCAAGCAGTCTTGGTGAAGGTCGCAAAAAATGGTCACTTGACTCCCTGTGACCCAATAGGTCCGTTGAAGACTTTTATGGCGAGCATGAACGAGTTGTGGGAGGCACTGTTTAAGACGTACAAGGGGATTGAGCCCTCTGGTGACTACAAGTCGTTTTATTGGAAAGGCATCTGTCGTCCGGTGCTTGGACTGGGCGATGGACTGGTGGAGGCTGCGTCTGCAGAAAAGTCCCTATGCCCGCGGTGCGAACCCGGTCCGGTGTTCAGCTTGCCGGTATGGAGCAGTGTTATGGAGCTGAGTCTGTCTGCAAAGAGTCCTGATTTGAGGGACTTCGTTCCTGCCGACCATCGCGTCCCGATGTGCGAGTGGATCGTGCTTGCTTCAGACGGCGGGGAATACACGCCCTACGGCGAGTGGCCGCCTCGAGACTGTAAGGATGGGATATGGCAAAAGGAGATGTGCGCCATGCGGGTGCGTGTGAAGGCCGAAGCCAGGAGGCAAGGCGTCCAATGGTCTCGATACCCGTGGCCCAGTACCTGGAAGCCCGAACAACTGGATTCCCCTGTCACCCTGCGCACTTTTCAGGAATGCATCCAATGGGACTTGGACGAGCGAGCCGCCTTCTGGCGTGTAGCCAACTTAGGCGACCTCCTCAAGTCCTACCGATTGTCCAGCGAAGTCGTCACCCAACTTGAGAAAGACGCTCTCGAGCTTATCGACACTGCCCAGAATATCGACCCCTGCAAGCACGGACGTGGCTGGTACATTGGCAGCTACCCACAAGCCTACGTTGTGCTCGAACCCACGGACGGCGGCCGGACATCCCGACTGTGCCTTGCCACCGGACCTGTCTGTCTCACCGCCCAAAACAAAGAGGAAGCTCGCCGCAGACACACAAAATTCTGGGACCAAGTAAGGAACGATGCAGGCTGCAAGACGTAATCAGCGCTGCCAACATAAGCTGCTTCCACCCTTAACAGAACAGCCACGAACCACTCATGAACTGGGCCGTTAGGGATGAACTCGTTTTGACATGTGCGCTGACTAAGGTGGAAACGCCCACGGGCTGGTAGCTAATGTGCTGGTTGTGGTTCACTAGTGGCTATGTTCTGGTCAGAGATGTCAAGGTCAGAGATGTCAAGGTCAGAGATGTCAATGTCAGTGATGTCAATGTCAGTGATTAAATTGGACCAGGTTCACCAGTACAAGTACTTCTTACGTGAGTGCTACGGGTTTTGCATCCGAGAGAAAAACGAAACAGTCGCGGCCAATCAATTGAACAGGCCTTGTTGGCGCTGCTGGCGGTGCAAGAGACCCTCGGAAGAGAACCGCCTCGACCAGCCTCGGAAGAGTAAGTTGGGTGACATCGCACGCCAGCTTTCAGAAATACGTATGGACTCCGCGAGGGAGCTTTACGACTGGGCACGTGGATTGCTCGTCGAGTACGTGGATTGCTCGTCGAGTACGTGGATTGCTCGTCGAGTACGTGGATTGCTCGTCGAGTACGTGGATTGCTCGTAGAGCAAAAAAGCTGTCGATACTGGTCTAACAGGCGATACTACCTCAGTTGGTCTAACAGGCGATACTACCTCAGTCAGCCGTGTACT